TGTATCTGCAATCTAAAAACAACCCTGTACTGCTTAACTTCTTTTGCCCTTGGTCAGTTGTCAGGAGCCTTGGATGTCCTGTTAGAAGTCCCTACATCTCTTGGAAAGAGGCTGTCTGGTTTCCTTCAGAAAGAAGATTGAGCTTTAACTCTTGGAATTGTGCCTGCCCTCACTTGATCCCACAACTCTAATCAGTTCAGACGTGAGTCCTTCCTTTCCGACGTGGTTCATTCAGAGGGAAAGAGAAAGAGAATTATAGACCACAAGGAAGCGGGCAAGACCCCGCCACATGGCAGGTGCTGTCCCGAGCCTGGAGAGGGTAGAGCCAGAGCTGCTTCCTGGTGCCCCGTGGCTCTGCAGTTACCCAGAAACAAGAATGGGGCTCTTCAAGTTTAATTAAAAACAGGATGTCCCTGCTGGGCCTCTCGGTTGACATTGCTAAAAATAAAGTAGGGAAATAGCATGGCCTCTTCATGGTTTAATCCCATTAAATTTGGGGGGAAAAACTGGAGCCAATAAAAGACATGATTTATTTCAGATTGCTGTCTGGAGTTGTGTCTTTTCTCTCCCTGTGCTGCGGAGTCCTAAATGTTGAAGTTCTAATGCCTCAGCTCTGGGTTGCTGACGCCGTGGGAAGGGAGCAAGGGACAGACAATTCCCTAACTGTGGTTTTGCCAGGCTGTCATCCACTTACTCACTCTTGGGACTGCTGGACCATGACCTCAGCTCTCTGCTCTCTGCTCTAGTCATAGACCTGGTTTTGTGAGTAATCCCCTCATCTCTATCTGTGGGTTGATGCATATGAAAATACACAAAATCCAGTCTGAGTGCTGTGGAAGAGCCATCTGAAGCCGTGAGCCCCTTCGGGAGCTTACTTCCCCCTCAGCTCCCTGTGTACTCAGCATGCCTCCTGCCGCATTCCAGGAGCCCCATTTGCAAGCGTACTCATCTAGGAGCATCCTGACTTTCTTCATTGTTGATTGGGTCTCGGTTTTTGTATTAACCTGTCCTTATTTCTCTGTTCCAGCCCAACTCCTTTAGCCTGATAGCTAACACTGTAAAACTCATAAAAACTTTGTTGGGTGTGGGAGACTCATTTTCTAACACAAATTCATCTGTTTGCTTGGTGTTTCACTCATTTGTTTAACCAAGAGTATTAAGGTAATAATCTCTAGATTATCATGCAATCGACTTCCTGTCAGAATCACAAAAAGGAGAATTTCATGAGCCCCAACTGAGAGTTCTTAGGAGTACTCCAGGCCAGTGGATTTTATTCGCCACCAGGGGACTCAGAAGGAGTGTAGATGAGGGTTTTCATAACAATTATAAAGGCATTACTGCAATCACTACACCCATCTAAATGGTGCTTATACAAAATGGGCCACTTCTGATATCTAATTTGTGTCTCCCAAACCCCTTGCCAGAGGATTGGTGAAAATAAAAATAAAGAGCCTGTCAGTCTTGTTGACAGTGGAATCCCCACCACCTCATACATAGTAGACACTGGATAAATAATTGTTGAATAAAATTATGAATAACCATTTTTAAATTCTTCTAAATACCATTGCCTGCAAATAACATAGGAGAGGTGAATTTGGGAAGGAGGTATAAATTGGAAAATCAAATTTAGTCACTTTCATCTCTTTGTTGCCCAGTGGAGACATATACATGTCTCAAGGTGGGCAGTGAGACACCAGCGGCCGCTCTGACCTGCTGGAGAGCCACACCTTGGACCACACTGCCGTACAGTCTCTCTCAGCCTTCTTGCCATTCCTCCTATCCAGGTGTCTACCTGTGTGTGTCCTTCTGTCCTTTACCTCCATAAGTGGATCATTCTTCAGGGTCCATTCCCTCCAGCACATCATCTCACATGACCATGCACCTGTTCCTTTGCAGCACTTTTTTCCATAAAGGCTTTACATTCATTTCTTTGGTAATTTTAGTAATGTTGGTTTGCCTTATTTAACAGTAAACCCCATAAGGGCAAGAATTAGTACAGCATAAGGCCTGGTATATAGTAGCTGCTCAATAAGCATTTGGTGCATGACAGAGTGAATGAGTGTGTGAGTGATAAGGGGGAGGAGAGAGTTAAGAACAGTGCTTTTCCTAATCTGGAGCCCATGGTGGGCTCCCAACCCCACCAGGCCCTGGAATTGTCTACAGGAATGGGTGTGTATCCTGAGCACCTTGAGTGGTGGTGAAGGTGAGAGTCCATAGCTTTTGATAGACTAAGAATATTTAAAGGGTTTCATATTAATTTGTTTAATTTATGAAGAAGGAGCAGAGATAAGAGAATAGGAAAGTGAGGAAAATAATTATGAAAGGATAAAGGGAAAACTTCATAATGATATGCAGAATAGAAGAAACCTGAGAGAGGACGGGGAGCATGAGAGAAGGTGAGGGGGCAGGGGTGAGCCATTCCTGGACCAGTCCTGGCACCTCAGCCCAAGTCTGCATGAGGCCCAGGGCTGGGAGCTGTCAGGGCTTCAGTGAACAGCCATGGCTGATTGCCGCCCTCCCACCTGAAAGGAGAGCATCCTGGAAACTGCAGTCGGGGTGAGTGGAAAGAAATGATCCAAGAGAGGTTTAGATGGAGCCATTTGCTAGAACAGAGGAAGAGAAGTCACACATAGCAGTCTGTGAAAGGCTTCCTGGAGGAGGGTAACACTGCAGCCAGCCCCTAACACACAGGCAGGATTACACAGAGAGGGGCCGCCTAGGGGAGTATGCAGACAAGGTGAGTGCAGACAAAACTGCTGCACCAGGAAGCCACCGTGTTTGTAGGACAGGGTGCCGGGCTCTTGACTACCTCCGAGAAGCCTCTGAGTTGGGAAATGCCCCCTTTGGCTGGTGGTAGACAGAAAGCACGTGGCACTTGGAATCACTAAGCAAGGTGATCGCACTGAGGCCAGAACAGACTCGGAAGGGCAGCCCAGGCCCAGGGAAGGCTGAGGAGGTACAGGCTCACAGCAACCTGAAGGCTTCTGGCAGAAGAGAGACCTACTGCTTGCCTTGAACACCTCTCCCATACCACCTCCACAATTCCTGAAATGTGTCAGCTCTGGCTTTACTAAAGAGATTGTACTTGTATGACCTAGTGAGATACTGACTTTTAGATACTGTTTTGTTGTTATTCTAAGATTCCTTGGTTTATGAATTCATAAAATACTTTGTGTAAGTTTGAACTCTGTGCAAGATGGGTGCATGTGTGTGTTCATCAGTAGGTACCACTGATTCCTTTTTAACTGTGTCAAGATCACAGAAAGCTTCCATGTGGGAGCAGAGAAAGCTGGAAGGGGGCCCTAGACCTCACAGCAGTGCTGGTGTGGAGAGACTCCTGCTTCCTACTCCTGTGATTAAATATTCACCGTCTGTGGAATCTCAGCATCTCTCTTTTCCCACATGTAAGAAGAGCTCTGTCATTGTGGCCTTTTCTAGCTTCCATCAAAGAATCAGGTGTCCCCAGAAGCTTGGCCTGGGGCACTATAACCCTGGCTGAGATGGTGGTGTAGACCTGGGATGGAGGGGACAGCAACTAGGGGTCCAGGAGGAAAAGCATATGGTTTGCTCTGGCTCCAGAGCACACATCAGTGAACATTTCTTGGGAAAGCTGACTGTGGCCAAGTTTACCCAAATAACACCCATAATTCCAGACAGGGTCATCACTCTGAGCTGGACCTTCCTCCCAGGCAGAACTGGTGTGGAGGCAGCTCCAGAGTCCAGCAAGGGCTTCGCGTAGGCTTAAGACAGACTCAGGGAGCAGGGCCTGCGAGATCCCTCTGGGGCAGGATCAGCCCAAGGGTCAGCAAACTGGGTGAGTCCATTTTTTATTCCTATTTTATTGAGTGAGATTAGAATATTTACCACCACCACCCCTTTCTCCAGAATATTTTAGAGACTGGAAGCAGGATTTATCCTAAATAGAACTATAAAACAGATAAGTTAGTTCCTTACTATTGATTTCTGCTCCCATGTTTCCCACTGGGAGGCTACCTCAGCTGCCTTCCTTTTTCTCCCCCCTCCAGCTATCCCACTGCATCCAGTGCCCCAGAACTTTCCAGATTATTCTGCCCACCCTCTAGCAAAATCTACTTTTCTAAAACTCCTTCCAGGGCTAAAGTTCCCCAAATGAATCTGATTAGCAAAGTCATGATCTGGAGATAAAAACAATGACTTTACATTATTCTTCCCAAATAAAAAGTGCATTTGACAACTGAGGCTTTCCAGGCCATTGCTGAGTACATGGGGGGGCCTGCAAGTGGTGGGGAAGATAGTTTCAGTACTACTTACAAAATTCTTTCAGGAAAACTCTTTTGCTCATCAGATTTCAGATGTATCCTGCTTATCTCAAGCTTGAGATTGTGTAATTATCTAATAGAAACTCAGATGGCAGATTGTTTCCTTTTCAGGGATGCCTGGGAGCTTAGTAGGAAGGAGTGTGGGCCGACTGCTCCATGCAAGTGGAAAGGGCATTGGGATTGATTGGTCATGTCTGCCTGGAAGAAGGCGAGGGCATGCACTGGCAGACTGTCAGGTGTTTATTACCCCAAGGGACCTAGGTGGAGACACCAGCCTGTCTTTCTGACCTGAGGAACATCATCTTCAGCCTTGCTCTTAGAAATAGGGTCCTCAGAAGAGCAGCATCAGCCTCACACAGGAGCCGTTAGGAATGCAGACTCAGGCCCTCTACCCTCATGCTGCCCTTCTCAATCGGAGTCTGCATTTGGACAAGATTCCCAGTGGATTCGCATGCACATTAAAGTCTGACACACAGGGACCCAGTGGGTCTTCCTAAAGGCCTTCACTGCTGGAGCAAGCTCTGCTGGCCTGGCTTCTGCCACCAGGGTCTGTGCATCTGTTTTCTTCAATCTATTGGCAAGAACAGGACATGCTCCTTGTGTGAACGGGGAGCATTCCCATCACTTGTGTATTGGGAGATGCAGTTGTGAGCCAAACCAAACCATGTTTCTGTCTTGCCCCCATGTTGCTTCTGTCCCCAGGCAATCTATAAGATGGTTTCCTCTGTAATGAAAATGCCTGAAGATGAGTCCACCCCAGAAAAAAGGACAGAAAAGATCTTCCGCCAGATGGACACCAACAGAGACGGTAGGAAGCTGTGTTGCTTTGCTTTGTTTGGAGTGGGGGCTGCTGGAGGGGCTGGGGTTGTCCAGGCAGGGAAATGCCACTCGAGGACAGGATACTGGCCACAGGGACCTGTTTCATGACTCTCTGTGAAATAGGCTCATCCTGTATGCTCCCTGGAGGTGCACGGCAGAGGAGGACCAGGGTGGGGCCAGGCCTAGGCCACAGCAGGCTGGATCCCTGCAGGCCCGCCACTCGGAAAGCAGGCATGGACTTGGTGTTATCCCTCCCAGGCCCTGGTAGCTTTCATCTGGTCTGCCCAGGGGTTTAGTTGGGCTCTCCTGCGTATGCTCTAAGGTGTGGAGTTTCCTGGAACGAAGTGGGCTCCCTGAACCATTGCGGGGTAGGAGGAGACACAGTGAGGTGGCCAACAGTTTCCACCCTGAGGGTGCCACCCACAATTCAGACCTAACAAGGTGAAAAGGAAGGTTGGATTTCAAACTCAAGAGCAGTAGATTTTAGATGTTGGATTGCCAAATAGAATACTGGAGGCCCAATCCACTTTGAATTTTGGATAAATGACAAATTAACCTTTTCATGTACATATACCCTATGCAATATTTGGGACATACATGAAAAATTGTTTGTTGTTCATTTGAAACTCTAAGGTAACTGGGGAGCCTGCATTTTATTTGCCAAATCTGTAGCCCTATTTAGATGTTAATACCTGAGTGTGAAATGCTAAGCAAAGAGCTTGGTCCATAATAAGCCCCAAGTCATCTATAGCTCTTGCTGTTATTACCAGCTTCTTTTTCTGCTGGGTGTCCCCTGAAATTGTCAGTGATGTGCCAACACGCTCTTAGCCGTCTGTGGAATCTCAGCTTCTCTCTGAGTGTCCACCATTCTGGTGGACAGAATGATGGGAGGTTTTGTAGTAGAGAGAACCTCTCTTTCTATTCCCACCTCCTTTGGGACACCAGCTGTCTGAGAATCTGGGTTTGTAGGGTATGGACCAATCTGTTTGTTTTGCTTTCTCCACAAAGGTGCCACTATATACTATTTCTCCTTAAATACTTTGATTCATAGAAAATAGTTTGTTTTGCAAAGACTAAACAGATAAGGGATTATTTTAATAGTTAATGAACTCGCTGTATTAACCTACCCATGTTGCTGGTGATCCAGGGGAATGCAGGTGGATCTGTGTCCGGCTCTAGGCCCAGCCACCTCGCTAGAATGGAACTCAAGGACTGGAGCAGATCCCCACACTGCAGGCTAAACCCTCATGTGGGTCCATCGTATGCAAGCAAGGTCTCTCCCCTGGGGCTCTGCTGCTACAGGATCCCAGAGCCCTGATTGGGTTAGCATTCCCAGAACACATCTCATTGCTGAAAGCCCTGTGCTTTCCTAAGGGAAAGTCTTGGGTTAAAAAGAAAAAATACAGGGGTGGGAGCTGTTCAGGGAAGGAGTCAGAGGAATATTAGCCCAACTAGACTCAACTGGACTCTCCTGCCACTGCGTTCCTCTTGGTAGAAGCTCTTTGCATCTAACTCTGGACGCTGACTTGAAGAGACAAGGTGGGGCCCACAGGCAAGTTAGCCTAGGAGTCAGCTGGGAAGCACGTGGGTAGTTAGCCCAGGGGAGTGGAGTGCCCCTAGCTTTGGGAGCCTCCCTTTGGGAGATTCCGAAGTACTCGAGTGGCCACTTCCATCTCCCTCCGCTCACGCCAGCTTTTCAAACCTGGGAAGCCATCACTTTTTCAGCTAGTGCCTGGGGTGGGGCAGAGCTCATAAGAAATGGCCAGAACACGAAGCTTAGAAGGGGACTGCTCTACGTACTACCAATAAATAGACGAACAAATTCCCACCTTTCCCCTTGCAGATGAAGGGGATTTGGTTAGATAAGAACTGTGCTCTGAGGAAGGGGTCGTGGCTAGGGGAAGACACTGTTGTCGGTGTCTCTGGGGAAGGGGGTGAGGGCTCCAGTACATAGCACCCCCTCCTGTCCGGGTTTGGAGTAAGTTGATAAATGAGCCGTAGTGGAGGACAGAGGACAAGCTTCACTGAAAGGAGCAGCTTAGTGGGAGAGCCCAAGGGTACGAGGACTAAACCGAGTGCAACAGGGTGGAGCAGGGCAGGGGAGCAAGTCCTCAAGGGCCAGCGCCTGCCCAGAGAGAAAGGGAGGGTGAAGGGGGGCAAAGAAGCCCGGCGCTCCTCCCAAGGAGGGGCCCGCAGAGGCAGGGAATGGAAGAGATTTGTTCCCTTCTGTTCTACAGAGGGACCTTCCCGAAGGGGATTCAATACAGACTCCAGCTTATGTAGGAAGGAAAGGGACACCCAGGCACAAGTGGGGTCCCAGGGGGCTGAGTCTCCCCCCTCCAGCCAGTCAGGGAGGAGGAAAGCTGTATGACGGACCCAGCAGGGCACCCCTCTGCCTCATGCACATATCCCTTCACTCTCCTGACCTCGGGTGGAGGGGCAGCCATCCTCAGATGTTGTCCGAAGAAGGGACGTCCCCCAGATACCTGTGTGGGCCCCTGTGCCCACGTGCAGCAAACCTAATACACCCGAAGGAGCCCAGAAGACTCCAGGTAGCACAGGGCTGCAAGAACCCAGCTGTTCTCTTACTAAGCTTGTTTCACAAATACCGACTGAATCCCTCTGGGGCGCCTAGAGCTGGCAACGCAGCAAGGGCAGGGGTCCGGTCAGGGCCACCGCGGCCATGCCGGCCCACGGTGGGCTCTCGGGAAGCGGTGGGCCCCGCTGGGGGCTGCCTCTGCCACGGAAGACAAGGGCCGGCCCCGGGCGCCTCACATCCGCAGGATAGGCTGTGAGCCTCAGGGCAGGTGGGAGGTCCCCGGAAAGCCGAGCCATCTCTGCCACCGAGCTGCCGCGGGAGGGCTGGGGGTGTGGGGGACAGCCCCAGCCGCTGCTCACCCGGCCTCTTGCTTTCCAGGAAAGCTCTCCCTGGAGGAGTTCATCCGAGGGGCCAAGAGCGACCCGTCCATAGTGCGCCTCCTGCAGTGCGACCCCAGCAGCGCTGGCCAGTTCTGAGCCCTGCACCCCACGCTGAGCTTCTCGTGTTCCCTTTGATTTTTCTTTTTAACGATGTGTTTTGCCAAACAATATTGATGGTGACGCTGCCCCAGGGCAGTCAGCTGCACCTTCCCCCGTGTCGCCTTCAGCTTCTTTTGTGGTGGACGCTTCATGGGAATGCCCGGAGCCCCAGCGCTGGGGAGAGCATGGACTGTGCTGTTGTGCGCAGACTTTGTGGTGTTCATTGTTCTGACAATGTTTCGTCATCATGATTATTGTTCTTTTGATTCAGATGTCTCTATTCTAAAACCGAAGACTCGGGGAGTCAACAGAAGGAAAAACAACCCAGTCCAGTGATTCTATTGCAACCTTCGAGGGGCTTGTTTGAAAAACAGAGCTCCCCACCTGGTCTGGGGTCACACATGGCCTAGGGGTGATGGCACCAGATACTGGATTCCCCGAGCATCAGGAGCCCTCTGGGGCCAGCTGTTAAAGGGGCTGGGGGGCCCCGTGGAGGCCCTCTTCCCCCTCTTCCCCAGCAGGCTGTAGTTTCTAAGCTGTGAACATTTCAAGGTAAATTGATAGAGAAAAGGAAAAAGATGGCTCAGCTATTTTTCACAGGTTTACACTAGTTGAGCTAATTTGAGTTTCTTTCAAAATAAAACACAAATGGTAACTTGTATTCCAAAACCAGACCCATCCTGTTGCCTATTGTGATTAAAAAAATAAAAAAAGACTTGTATATAAAATACTGGGTGTTGCAGACCAAATCAAGTGTTTTGCCTTGTTTAAAAGAGATGCATGTCTAGTGAGCAGAGATACAATCTCACTACAGAAGACTGTTTTTAGTAGCTTATTGTGAAGTAAGCCAACCATAATGAATGCCTATGTCTTGTCTTAAAATCGTATGTCTTTGCACAAATGCACCATCAACAGGTATATTTTATATATTCCAGAAAAGTACAAAGTAACCATGACTAGAGCCCAACCTAGATTTTGAATGCTTTTCCGGAGTGACGGTGCCTGGAGAAGAGAAGCAGGCCAGTCTAGGTGGGACATATCAACTGGAGCACCAGAAGGCTAATACTCAGGAGGGATGTGAGGCGATGGTCTGCCCACCAGCCCAGCAGCTCATCGGTAGTATTAGAAATGTGGTGCTTCTCTGAGCATATCAGTATTCTGTAGCCCAGAAAAAAAAAAGACAGCATAAATTCTCATGGTTTGATCCCAATGGTTTGATCCACGTGTGGTTAGGGAGGCATATCTGGAATACTAACTCTGCCATACCCGAAGGGGCCCATCACCAGCTCAGAGACTGGGTAGTCATCTGATGACTGGTCAGGAAGGCGGAGGCAAGTTCATCTGTGATTTCCAAGACCCATTATGGGGAATCCAGAAATGTTTTCCAGCACTGTGTTCTCTGAATGCAGTTCTATTTCCAGAAATGATGGCACAAATTTGAACAGCTGTTTGGTCTGGTGACTTCATATGCACTAATTTGAATTGAAAGTTAAGAGTAAAAATTGCTGGTCACAGGGGAGTCGTATTTTCACAATCAGTAGGCATGGGGAAGCTGAAATACTCAAGCATGTAGGTTGACGGGGAGAGGCTACCCCTGAGAGAAGGCAGAGAGGTCCCTAGTGGTCTGTCACAGGTCACTTCCTGCTGCCCATGAACCACAGCAAGATACCCATCGTAACCACGAAGAAAGTGATGCTGACTTCACTCTAACCTCCAGATCCCTGTGTATTACTTGAGTTCATTTTAACTTATAGCAAAATTCCAAATTTGTATTGTCGACCAAAATGACCAATTTTGCAGGGTGTGATTTTGAAACCTGGACTTAGTCAAATAATCTCAATCTTCCTCTGAGTCATTTTCTCATAGTGGTTCTATACTGAGACTTTTCAAATTCTTCCATGGGCTGAGTGGTAAAATCTGACTTTGAAAAATAAGGAATTTACCTAAGAAGTGGAGTGCAGAGTGGGCGAGGGGACCAGCACCTCTGTGGGCAGTGTGCAGGAGGTGCATCTCACTTTCCGCCACTCTTGATTAAAGACCTAATTCCTCTTTCCAGTTCTCCTCAGATGTTGGAGCCAGGTAATGTTTGGGAAAGCCTGCCTGGGCTCTGCCTTCGGTCATGACATCCTGTTCAGACGCACTCAATCCAGTTCCTGGAACCTGGAGCTGGAGTGAGGAGTAGGGCAGAGGGTCTCCAGCTGTTTAGGAAAGAAAACAGCCAGATGAATGGCTAATGAATGCCAACATGCCTGGGATGTACGACACGCCTGGCCTGCCATTGACCCTGTCTGTATTTTCTTGAGGGTTGTTTTGCTCCTTCTCTTCCTTCCCAGGAAGGCCTTTGTATGTCTAAATGCACTGAAGTTTGGCCAAGGGACTCTGGGGCACCCAGAAGGCTGATGCCTAAAGGTTTATGTCACCCCTGCACTGGGCTGTTCATTGTCATTGCTGTGTTGAGGGACCTCTGGAAATGGAGCCTGTTCTGTCTGAAATCAAGCCAGTCTGTGATGTTCAAGGGACTGGAATAAAGTGGCTTAAGACTTGAAGGATGATACAGTGGTCGGCTGTTCGTACCCTTGTTTTGGGTGGGGTGAGGTTGCCAAGGTGCTTTCCATTCCCCTCTCTGGCCCCTGGGGGGTGAGGGACACTTTCCACAAGTAGGTTTAATTATACATATATTTATAAATCCCGTCATATGGAGGGGCCCCTCTGTCAGTTAACTTCATTCTTATCAATCATTCTTTGAATGTTTGGCATTGAAGCATTTTGTTGTTTAATCTGACTGTCTGGGCATGAAGTTTCCGTGCCTAAACTGCTGTCCCAGCGGAACTGTGCCTGAGTGAGGGTCTGGGTGCTGATACTGGCCTCCTTCTGGGTGTGGGTTCTGCCCCAGAGACACAGAAGCAGGGACTGTGAAGGGGCATGGCAGAGGCTGCTGGGCCCATAGCCCTGGACAAAAGCATCCTTGGTCTACACCTGGGCTTGCTTCCTTCCCTCCACACCAGCCCACTTTCTTCTCATCTCTGCTCCCTCCTCACACTGGAGCTGCAAACTCTAGTCCAAACATTGGATGCAATGGAAACGAAAACTGAGGTGACTGGGAAATGAATATCTTCTCTCCTCTCTCCATCTCTCAAGTCTAGAGAAGAGTTCAGAGAAAAGATGGTGCGATACAGAGCCCACACCATCAAAGCCAGTTCAGAGCAAGCCACAGCCCTACCTCCAGCTTAATGAGGGAAGACGGGCTGAGTGTCAGCTGTAGGAGGTGTGTCAGGGCCAACTAGGCCTCACATGGGAGCTGAGCTGGCCTGGATGGGAGTCTCTCTACTTCACACGATTTCTCTCTATGCACCTGCAATAGCCCTGATACCCTTGAGTGGTGAGCATAAATAACACCATGTGATTCATGGCAGTGGTGGAGAGAAGGTGACTGGGGGGAGCCTCCAACCCGATCAGGAGCCTGGACTCTGGCATCTGTTGGAGACCAACATGGCAATTTGCCGCAAACTTCCAAGCCTGAAGCTTCTACTTTCAGGACATTGTCCCAACACCACAACCCAAATGGACCCCCTCACAGCCCTGCTCAGGTATGGAGGGCACATACCCACTGAGGGGTCTGAGTGTCCCCTCCGTCAAGGTAAGGAGCAGGTCACAGTAGCTGTCTTTGGAAGAAATGGGAATGCTTCCCATGTATTTCTCTCGTCTTGAGTATGCCCAGCACTTTGCTGAAATTTCTTGTTTTTTTGAGGTGAGTGAAGAAACAAGAGAAAGACCATTGAGCCTGTGTTTTCCAAGGCAGAAGAGTCTCAGTCAAATCCACATAAAACAGAAAGATTACTGCCGAGTGAAAAGATGGTCAAGCCAAGGGTGTAACCAGCGGTATGTTCATTTCAAACAAGTTCCTCTATACTTAAGTACTGACCATGTGTCTGGGATTTAGGTCCTGTGTACTTGCTGAGCTGCATGTCTAGGTGCCTCATGTGGTCCCAGACATCTCTGGAATTGCAAACAATGATCACTGAGAACATTCCATGGTGTGGAGCTAACTCCCCAGGGCAGCTTAGAGGAGAACAGGGCCTCAGGGAGGCATATTTCATGACTTCTCAGTGCTATTCCAGGAAATGAATGGCATTTTAATAGTTCTCTGGAAGAGCTGGTGAAAATACTTCAAAATTCTGGGCAGCTCAGCCTTCTGACCCTTATTAAATATTCATAGCTCTGCCACCAGTATACCATAAACACATAGACAGAAAGATGGACAGATTCTCTAGCAAAGTATCTTTTCGATACCAGTATTTAATCACTTCACTGGGATCGCACTCAGTGCTCAGTGGTGACCCAACACAGTACAAGCAGCATGCTCTTGGATACGTATTTATGGTGAGGGGTTGGGGTAGGATTTATTAGCAAAGAAGTAGGAGACCAAGCTAACAGCTCAGCAGGTAAGTTCTGTCCAGCACCTTGGAAAGGGGCTCGCACCTCCATCCAATGGCAAAGCCAAAATCGAGTTCTTTCCTGAGTAGCACTAGAGGTGTTTGCCTTTAGTGCTCTTTCTACATCCTGTTCTTCTCTTTTGCTGCCTCTAGCTGATAAGGGACCCCCCACTACATTTCCTAGAATTCCTGAGTGTCTGAAATTAACCTGTGCCCCAGTTAGCAGAGCTTCATGGGCATGAAGGACCCAGGGACAAAGGCTATGTCACACTAAGGTAGTAGGCCAGAAAATCCACTCAGGGAGTGCTTACGTGTAAAAGCAGAGACACAATAAGTCCCTGCTGGAGACCTCAGAAGGGGGTGGCTGTGGTGACCACAGAGGCACCTGTGGGACACTCAGCTGCTGGGAGCACGGCTGACTGACAGGCTCCGGCTTAGCCCACAGCGCCAACTCGGTGCTAACTCCCAGGCCCCACTCTCCACCGCTGCTCCCAGCCAAGGCCGCGCACGACCCAGGTATTAGAATTGGGCCGTCCTTCTCTTAGGTGACCTGTGCTCAGGAGCTCTCCAGGCACCTGCCTGAGGCAGGTTGAGGCTGCTCCTGGCCAAGCTGCCTTCTTTCCGTCTCTCCTCGGGCAGGGCTCAGTCTGCACACTCCCCGGCCTCCTCCTGCTTCTTTCCCCTTTACCTCCACATGAATCCCCCCAGTGTCTCTTGAACATCCAATCCCATCCTGGCTTCTGCACCTTGGAGGCCCTGCACCGACACAGTGACAAGCCCCTTCCCCGTTCGCACGGATCCTCATACACAGGCTGACACTCCAGACGGGAGCATTCCTGAAGTGAGCTCACGTTTGTGACCTTCTCACCCTGGGAAAGGCTAAGGTGGGTGGTTTGCATGGGACTCTGTCAAGGCAAACCCCTATCATTATGCTGATGATGCCAGGCCATTATCACTTTGTACATCACTGCAGACTGTGTCTAACCAGCCTCTTTGTCACCAGCATGGGGCACAGCGCCTGCTCCATAGTAACTGAGCTGAATTAGTACAGAGAGTGGAAGGCAGGAGCTGGTGTGGGACTTTGAGGCCTGACAACTGGTCATCTTCAGCTACCCAACCAAGGGCCAGTACAGGTGGGCAAGGGGTGGACTGGCACACATGGCAAGCAAAGTTCACCCAACAGTGTGGCTGCCATGGGCCAGGGTAGGGACTGCCTCTGGGGAGATGTGGAGACTAGTTGTATCCTCAGCAGGACCTACTTGGGCCTGTGGGGAATGCATTTGGGCCTCCTACTGAGGCTGCAGGACATGGACCATGGCAAAAAGGCCTTGTGGCCCATTTCTATGCCTACGGTCCCTCCAGAACTGTTGGGTGAGCGCTTCCTGCAGCCTCCTCTTCCCTGACCACTGGTTTGGGCTTAGGTGGCTGGGATGCCTTCTCGAAGGCAGAAGGCTCTCTCAAGGCAAATTTTAGCCAAGACTGGAAAGCTGTGGGCATGGATAGACAGAGAGAATGTGTGATGTGGAAGAACATGGAAATTCTAATTGATGGCTAAAGGAGTGTGGGTGGCTCCACGAGTGGGTAGTCACCAAACACCAATGAATACTGGGATAGTGAAGTGTTTGCATCTGAGCTGACAGGCATAAGCCTGTGGCCTCCAGGGCAGGAGACCGTTGCGATGAAAGTGGAATTGTAGCCACGTGGTTGGGGTTAGTACAGTGAACGGAGGACAGAAAAACTCTTGCGATCATTCAAGTGGGGACAGGTGAGCTGAGTGTCAGGGAGGTAAAAGCCAGCAGATGGAATCTCTCCCCTGCCTCGAGGAACTGGTCATGAACCACCACCCTGGTGGCCTGCCATGGTCACACTGAAGGCCTCTGACTTCCCCAGGCCTCTCCTCACCTGGCCTCGGAGTGGGGTACAACAAGGCAATGGGAAGAGGAAATGTCGCTATGTGGAGGCCTAGGACCTGAACGTGTCCGAGGGGAGCCTGCAATCTTCCCAGGTCACGCAGAGCCTTCTTTGCAGTGAGGCCTCACAGAAAGCACCAGACACTGCTGTTTACTCTGATGTGATGAATATTTATTTTTCTTCTTAAAAATGTACAAAAAATAAAATAACTGTATTTATAGTTTATAGATTCCCCCTCTCCCATTTACAAAACTATTAAGTTACATTTGCCTTTTTTCTTTTTAACACAAGAGCAAATTGTCCACTGTTGATCTCCCTTGCTTGTCTTTAAGAAAGGGCCGTTCATAGAATTTGGCACAAACCCTCTGTCTCTGTTGCATTATCATGATTTTAAGTAAGGACAATTTGATTCATGCTTCCTAAGTCTCTGGGCTGGGACGTGCTTTAGATTTTTGGGATCCAATTCTGACTGCTGGATTTTTCTGTTGGTCCCAGTTTCCAAACACACGTTAAGTCTAAGCAATCTGGGTATAAGAAAAACACTTGTTTATGTGTCCCTCATCTGATGTGGATTTTTAAAAGAGCTTATTTATTAGAATGTGATTAATTTAAAGGACAAAAAAAAAGAAGAGTGGGCAAGTTTTCCTTTCTGGAGTGTTTTTGCTTGGGAAATTTTGCTCATCCAAGGTCTGCTACCATATAGAGTGAAGGACACATCCAAGCTAAGCCGTAGCTCTGCTGGACTTCAGAGGAGTGTGTTAATGGGGAACAGATCAGATCCTTTGGTGGCACTGTTTTCATATTCCTTGTTCTGGTAGTCGCCAGCACATGCCTGCTCGGAGACCTGGGGCAAAGGCAAATGCCCTCTGCTTCATCCTTGGTCCAGGGCAGGGCCAGCAAGTCTTTTCCCACAGAGGCTCGAGAGAGGAGGGTAGGAAGCCTACATCAGACTGCCAAAAATGGGGTCTTTTCCCTGCACTTGAGGCCTCTGCCCCACCCACCCAATAGTATTTGCCACTACGTCTGCCAATCAGGTTTGAAGTCACCCCTCAGGCAAGGAGCATGGGAAGAGCAAAGTACAACATGGATTTCCAACACTGAATGTACCCATCTTAGAACAGAGTCCCATCAGTACCCAGAAGGGTCCCCAAGCTGCCAGTCCCGGGCATGACAGTCACAGAGCACCGGAGGGGACAGACTGCAGCAGCACTGAATCCGAGACGCAAACCTTCGGCACCACTGGGAGGAGTAACATGTCCAGAAGACACTCAGAAAGGTGCCCCCTCAGCACCACCCAGAAATCTTCCTAGGCACACACCTGCTCTCCATACCATTCAAATCCTTTGCAGCCTCAAGAAGAAACAGCTGGGCTGGAAGCAGCCCTTCCTTCCTGCTCCGGGCTCAGGGGCAGATGACGGGAGAGCAGGGAGCCCCTGAAGAGAAAGCCCCCAGGAAGACATCAAAGTGCTTTACAAACAAAGCCAGGCCTTTACAGAGAACCTGTCCTCCATCCAGACCTTGGGTGGGGGCCTTGTCTGGCTACCAAAAAGCTAGTGCTCCAACCCACAAGGGTAAATGCAAACCTCAGACCACCTACCTGTCCCCTCAAAGAGAACAGTGGTCCAGGATGGTTCATGACTTTGTGGTTGTGGAGGGAAGAATTTCTTCTCCTCTTCATCTCCAAGGGCATGTAGCCAATGGACAAGGCCTGCTCTCTCCCGGCCCTCCTCTGGAGGTTGCTTTCAGAAGAGCCAGGGCTCTGAGGCCATTCTCACTCCCTCCCTCCAAATCCAGCAGCCTGGAGCAGGAGAAGCTGACCCTCCCTTAACAGTGCGGAGACCCAAGAGACAGTTCTGGCCTGTCAGTTCAGAGCTGAGCTGATGGCACAACCCTGGAACTGCAGGTGGGCTTGTAAGAGGGGTCACTGGAGATGAAGGGTGTGCTTGTAAACTGGGAGGCACCAGGCCAGGACCCTCATGGTAGCCAAGGAATTCTGCAGCAGGCCCCAGTGACAGGGCCCTGATGGCAACCCCCAGGTAGTCTCTCTAGAAAGTTCAGGCCTTGCGATAACAAAGCTGTAGGAGAGGGGGCCTCAGGCAATCTGACTTTTCCCACAAGGCAGCTCTGAGGAGAGTCAAGCAAAGCGCATCACCACGAGATCGCAACAGCCTCCAGGGCGGGTCACACCCATGGAGGGGGAAAAATCCCTGGGCATGCCCCCTGGAGCACCTGTCTGGGCACCCACTGTAGTCACCTGACACTCTGAAGGCCATTTCTCTAGCCCAGCTTGTCTCCTGAAAAGCACAGAGGCAAACCTCTTGTAGAAAGTGTAGTCTCCTGGCATGCGTCTCCCTACGCCAGTGGCAGTAAACATGCCCACATGCCACAGATAAAATATATTATTGCAATATTATAAACACTATGCACATGACAGCCAGGGGTACCTTCTGCATTACTTACTAATTACATGGTAGCTAAATGTCTTCCTGTGCAAGGCCTGGTGGCCACTCACTGGGAACCTCTGGAGGTATTTAGCAAGCTGACCTTCCCCGAAGCAACCTGAAGGTTTCTGGCCAGTAAGGCGCACCCACCTCTCACCACACCTCTGATGACTGGACTAAGCAGCAGCTCATTTTGTCCAGCCACTCAGGAGAAACAGAGAGGAGAGACAGAAGGGCCGCGGCAGCTCAGGCTCTTCAAGATGAATGGACTGGCTGTGCTTGCATGAAGGGGAGGGCTCTGGACGGCCTCATCTGGTGCCAGCAGTGACCTGCACAGTCCTGGTGAGCTCCAGAGAAAGGTGGACAATAAATAAGGGTCCACAAGGCCCAAGCCACCTTCCTGAGGGGCTCTGGCTTCAGCCCACAGCAGGAGCTGAGGGAGGGGCCAAACACACCTCCAAGGGATGGGGCTTCGTGCTTTGCCCGCTCCCCAGTGTGGTTGTGTAACAGCAGTTGTGAGATGGGTGAGGTGGGTCTGCAGGTTCTGGGGCTGCAGCCTCTGTCCCTCTCGGGGAGGAATGCGCCCAGGGCTCCTGCCCAGGGGATGCCGAGATCAGGGCTCAGATCTCCATGAGCGTGATCTTGAAGCCTTCCAGCATGCTCTCCATGTTGAGGATGAAGGTGTCCTCATTTGAGTAGTGCTCAATGATGTTGTCATCCATGTTCACCAAGATGCTGCCAGGGAGCGGGGTGGGGGTAAGAAACAAAGATATCATGAACAATGTGTTTGGTGCAAGGGTAGTTTCCAGGCTGGCGGGGGTCCCTTAGTCACTCTTCCACAAGGGAGGCTGGGAGGTATGGAGGAGAGAGGGGATAAGGCAGGGAACTCATTATATTGTCTTTATTGTATTTTCTTCCCCAGAAACCAGTTTGAGTAAGGCAAAGCAAAGCCACGATTTCTCAGAACTAACTTCATGACTCCTTACTAAACAGGTCTTCAGAGATCATTCGACCCAACCCTCTTGCTTTGTAGATTGGTAAACTGTGGCCCAGAGAGGTTAGCAGAAATCACAGTTAGCTGTCGACAGAGCCAGGACCTAAACAATTAGGCCTCCCATTTTCATAAAACCATAATGCTTCTTGAAAATGCTTTTTAAAGAATACTCTGGACTTAGAGGAAAATAAACAAGCATGGCAGCTATGCTTTGTTGAGCCTGTAGTGTGTTTCAGTGTTTAAGAGACCTTGTGTTTAATCCTTACAGCAACTTTGAAGGAAGGTGTGACCATGGCCACCTTGCAAATGAGAAACTGAGCTCAGTGAGGTTAAATCACTTCCCCAAATTCATTCAGCTAGTTTATAGATGACCTGGGTTTTGAAACTAGCTTTGGCCTCACTCTGAGGTTCACACTTTACCACATGTGACTTACTCCTGGGTTAACTATCCCCGGTGGAATTAGTTTTAAGGAAACCAACAACTTCAAGTGTCTGTCCATGATTTAGAAGTCCTGGAGTCAATCCCATTCTTGAAAGTTGGACAGATCTTAGTTTGAGAATGAAGAACTGACTCATTTTAGTCAGTTCAGAATGATGAACTGTGTCATCAGGCCAGCTGTTTAGCCATTCAGAGCCTCAGTTTATTCTTCTGCAAAAGTAAGAACAACAACCCTGCTTTAGAGGGTGTTGATCAGGTTAAAGTCTTTAGCACAGGGCCTGACACAGTACTCAGTGAAAGTGAAATATTACCACCAGCAGCATGTACGTCTACACTGAGGATTTCTGCTCAGCAGTGAGACCTGAAACACTACTCAAATTTCACCATCAAAGGAATACACTCCGCCTATTGCATTGACCTTGGAAAGAATTAGAATATGCATTTTAGTGAGCTTTGCAACAAGGGATCAAGCAGAAAGGGTTTCCGCTTGACTCCCAATCAACCAAGTGACCCCATCACTCAGGAGGCTTGTACTCCCAGATGGTCAATTTCCTTTATGAAAGAGGCCCAGAGAAGAGTTTAAAGAGCCATTTTATGCTTTCTGTAGGAAAACAGCTCTAGAAACTGACTCAGTAGAGACTCTTCCAAGCACTAAATCTGGCCCCTGTAGGCTAGACCTTTATACACAGGAAGCCCAGGAGGACTGGAGGTGGCAGATAGTATGCGGAGCCCACCCTTGAGATTTGGGGCCACAGACCTGGGTTCAAATCTCTGTTCCATCTACTGAACATGAGACCTTGGGCAAGATGCTTTAACCTTTATCTGGCTCAGTTTCCTCCTCAGTAAATCAGGGATAAGAATCTAACTCATAGAGCAGTGGGGACAAATAGAGCAATGCATGTAAAGCACTTAGCAGGGGACGCAGAACCTACTGAACACCCAGTAAATGAGAGTAGGAACAAGCAGGCCTAATGATCATTTAGATCATTTTGGTAATAAGGACCTTGAAAGAATCCCATATCCCAAATTCTTCTTATTCCTATTGTGTCATCCTGAAATCAACCCAAGAGCAGCATGTGATTCCTTATCAACTCCTCTCTGCAGAGCAGTGAATTTGCACTCTCCTCAGTGTCCTCACCACTTTAAGACCCCTCTTTCCCACCTGCTAATCCTTGGAATAGGACATCTCAGTCGACATCATGACAATGTACTGTCTCCCTTCTCATGAGAGATCTTCAACATGCATTGCATTTGCAGGCTGCTCAGCAAGCCTTTGCAAGGATGACACATGATTTTTATGAAAGGTGGACAACAGAGTTAACAAAGGACAGGGTCATCTCTTTTAAAAGTGAAATGTAGACTTATCTTCTTTGGAAGTCAACTTAAGTTCAGTTTCTTTCTTACCCTTTTTTGCTTTTCTTGTAAAGTTTTGCTATCTTCTCCACAGGCAGCCCGTATTTCTCAGATATCTGTGATACCAATAACAAAAAAACAGGTGAGCATGGAAGGGGAACCCCGGCAGAGGCAAGAAAGTAAGTTCCAATTCCACACTCTTGGAGATTTTCCTGGAGCCCTTCACTCATGAGCCAAGCTCTCAAACACCTCGGTTGCAAGGCTCTCCCTTTGGATGAACCTTAAATCATCCCACAAAAGATTCAACCATATGGGAACTTAATCTCTGAGAAAGGTATCACTTCAGATCAGTCAAAAAAAGATGGACTCTAATCATGATGTTGAATTAAATAGGTAGCCCATATAAAAAAACTTTAGCAAGTTAAGCTGAATAGCTTCTCCATGTCTCACATCAAAAGAAGTTTCAGAAAGATCAAAGATCAAGATGTGAATGATGAAACTACAAAAGTACAAGAAGAAACCATGAGTCAATTCTTTGTATAGATAACATTTTCAAGTAAGAAAGGTCTTGAAAGATATGAAAACTGAAGAAAAAAGTTTAAAGGAAGGATAAAACATTCCCTGACTTCCAACAATGCTACAAACATACAGTGATCAAAACAGTATGGTACTGGCACAGAAACAGACCCATAGATCAGTGGAACATATTAGAGAACCTAGATAAAAACCCACACATATACGGTCAGTTAATATGTGACAAAGGAGACATGTATATGCAATGGGGAAAAGATAGTCTCTTCAATAACTGGTGTTGGGAAAAGTGGACAGGTACATGCAAGAGAATGAAACTGGATTACTGTCTAATTCCATATACAATGGAATGGACAGAGACCTAAATGTAAGGCACGAAACCTTGAAACTTAGGAGAAAGCATAGACAAAAATCTCTTGAACATAGCATGAGCAATTTTTCCCTGGACACGTCTCCTCAGGCAAGGGAAACAAAATAGAAAATGAACAAGTGGGGCTATATCAAACTAAAAAGCTTCTGTATAGCAAAGGACACCATCAGCAGAACAAAAAGGCAATCTACAGTATGGAGAATATATTCATAAACAATTTATCTGATAAGGGGTTAACATCCAAAATATGTAAAGAATTCATATGCCTCAACACACAAAAAACCCCACAAATAACCTGATTAAAAAATGGGCAGAACAGTAATCAAGACAATTTGGTACTGGCACAAGAACAGAGCCTAAGACCAGTGGAACAGAATAGAGTCTCCAGACATTAACCCAAACATATGTGGTCATTTAATATATGATAAAGGAGCCATGGATATGCAGTGAGGAACTGATAGCCTCTTCAACAGCTGGTGTTGGCAAAACTGGACAGCTACATGTAAAAGAATGAAACTGGATCATTGTCTAACCCCATACACAAAAGTAAATTTGAAATGGATCAAAGACCTGAATGTAAGTCATGAAACCATAAAACTCTTAGAAAAAAACATAGGCAAAGATCTCTTGGACATAAACATGAGCAACTTCTTCATGAACATATATCCCTAGACAAGGGAAACAAAAGCAAAAATGAACAAGTGGGACTATATCAAGCTGAAAAGCTTCTGTATAGCAAAGGATACCAAAAAACAAAAAGGCATCCTATAGTATGGGAGAATATATTCATAAATGACATATCCTATAAAGGGTTGACATCCAAAATATATAAAGAGCTCATGCACCTCAACAAACAAAAGCAAATAATCCAGTTAAAAAATGGGCAGAGGATCTGAACAGACACTTCTCCAAAGAAGAAATTCAGATGGCCAACAGGCACATGAGAAGATGCTTCACATCACTAATCATCAGAGAAATGCAAATTAAAACCACAATAAGATATCATCTCACACCAGTTAGGATGTCCACCATCCAAAAGACAAACAACAAATGTTGGCAAGGATGTGGAGAAAGGGGAACCCTCCTACACTGCTGGTGGGAATGTAAATTGGTGTAGCCATTGTGGAAAGCAGTATGGAGGTTCCTCAAAAAACTCAAAATAGAAATACCATTTGACCCAGGAATTCCACTCCTAGAAATTTACCCTAAGAATGCAGCAGCCCAGTTTGAAAAATACATATGCACCCCTATGTGTATTGCAGCACTATTTACAATAGCCAAGGAATGGAAGCAACCTAAGTGTCCATCAGTAGATGAATGGACAAAGAAGATGTGGTACATATACACAATGGAATATAAGAAGAAAACAAATCCTACCATTTGCAACAACATGGACGGAGCTAGAGGGTGGTATGCTCAGTGAAATAAGCCAGGTAGAGAAAGACAAGTATCAAATGATTTCACTTATCTGTGGAGAATAAGAACAAAGAAAAAACTGAAGGAATAAAACAGCAGCAGACTCACAGAACCCAAGAATGGACTAACAGTTACCAAAGGGAAAGGGACTGGGGAGGATGGGTGGGAAGGGAGGGACAAGGGGGGAAAAGGGACATTACTATTAGCACATATAATGTAGTGGGTGGGGCATGGGGAAAGCAGTACAACACAGAGAAGAGAGGTGTTGACTCCATAGCATCTTACTACGCTGATGGACAGTGACTGTAATAGGGTATGTGGTGGGGACTTGATAATGGGGGGAGTCTAGTAACCATAATGTTGCTCATGTAACGTTTCTCCAAAGAAGAAATACAGATGGCCAACAGGCACATGAAAAGATGCTCCACATAGCTAATCATCAGGGAAATGCAAATCAAAACCACAATGAGATATCACCTCACACCAGTTAGAATGGCCACTATCCAAAAGACAAGAAATAACAAGTGTTGGCGAGGAAGTGGAGAAACGGTAACCCTCCTATACTGTTGGTGGGAATGTAAATTGGTGTAGCCACTGTGGAAAGCAGTATGGAGGTTCCTCAAAAACCTCAAAATAGAAAGACCATATGATCCTGGAGGTAAGAATGGACTTTAATGATAAAAAGCAAAATTCATGAAAAAGGTTTAGCAACATAACAATGCATCCAACAGCACAGGCTTCAGCAAAAATTATCAGAAGTAAGGAAAACTTGAAAAAAATTACAGTGGGAGACTTCAATATATCTCTTTTAGAAATGGAAAAATCTAATTTCTAGACAAGTAAGAAAGAACAGTTGAATAATATAATCAATATACTAGACTGAATATTTTATACACACACACACACACAGATTACATTTCCTATGGAGAATGTAGCAAGTATTAGACCAGAAAGATAAGCCAAATCAGATCGTAATTCAGTAAAGTTAAAAAGAGAAAAGTGAAAGTTGCCAGGAATGCTGAATTATTTGGTCTATGACAGGGCTTCTTAATCTGGGGTCTATGGAAGCCCAAAGAGTACACACTTCTTTTCACTAACATCAAATTTTAATGTAGATCTCCCTTCAATTATGAACATACAGCATTAGCAGTACCTGCATTTATTACCAATAGAAATCACAGATATTTTTGGGTCATATTAAAATTACTGCAGATATCTCAAAATATCAATTACATTCATTCACCATACTTAGAAATTACAAGTTATTAGTCCCACCCACAGATTGTGGTATTTAATGCATGAATAAAGAGCACATATATTCCTATATCACAAACATGTTTTATGATTTTGATGACTACATATCAACATAATTGGTTTCATTTGTAATTCTATGTATTTTATTTTGTATATTTAAAGGTATTTTCTAAAGCAGGTCCACAGACTTCACTACACTGCCAAAGACATGCTTAGCACAAAAAGAGAAGAACCCCAGTAAGCATTCTGTACACAAGAGCTTGCTGCCTGTGTGAAGTCCTGGGGTCCATGTTATTTGTACCTAATTATCATTTGGATTGATGTGTGATTATCATTTGGATTGACGTGGCTTTAAAGAGTTGGGTTTTTGAACTTTGGTTAGTGTCCTTTGGAACTTCTTTTTTAAATAACATCAAAAAATAAAATAGGAACATTTTTCTGCTCAACATCAGCAGACTTGTATTTATTTGTAAGTTCCCCTTCTCTGAAAGAGCAGTGGTTCTGTTTCTTGGATCTCCTTTTCAGGGGTTTGACTCCCAGTCTCCCAAAGCATGACGGCAAATACCTCTGCTCACAATTAACTGGTAACAGTCAGAGAGAGCTAGGAAATCTGTATTTGGCTTGGGTCTGCTGGGAGTAGCAGCAATGGCAGCCAGCATTTATGAAGTGCTTACTAAGTGCCTAGCTCAGAGGCATGCAAAGCTATGCATCTATTGTTCAATTCTAACAGGGTGGCAACGGAATAGGTACTGCTAGGAAACTCAGGCTTGTCATTAACTAACTTGCCCAGGGTCACCTGCTGGTAAGGGGCAGAGACAGGATTTGAAAGGTAGTCTGGATTCAGACTGTGAACTCAGGGAAATGGGCACACGCTGAGGATGCAGGGAGGCTCCCGGAACCCATCCAGCACAAGAAGCGACCAGCAAGGCTGACGCATGTGCACCAAGCTGCTGAGGGCAAGAGTCTCTGGGAGCGCAACGTCCTGCTCTCAGTGCAGGCGTCAAAGGCAAAGCCAGCTTGATAATATGCCACACAGACACCAGGTCTTCTGCCTCACGTGAGGCAAGGAAGTGAGCTTTGCCCAATTCAGAACCGTGGAAAGGAGAGAGACTAAGCAGGATGTCATGTAGAGGAAGCTGGCCGTCTATCAGGGGGTTACAGAAGAATTCCTTCTGCCCAGGAGCTGGATGGCGTCACCCACACAGCCCTCCCTTCTATGGAAAGCACCTGCTATGCGAGAGTCCTCTCAGAACTGGGGGTGTGGTGAGGAAGGGGGGGCACGCAGGGCCCGGGAAGTTGGGGGGAGAGAGGGGGCACGAGGGGCCTGGGAATTAGGAGTGCTTGTTCTTTTGCTTTTAAGTTGTCTTTACTAAGCATACACTTTCATAATTTATAAAATCCCATTATTAATATTTTTTAAAGACTTCCTTTACACCCTGGATGACTCGAGGTTTTAGGCATCTCATCAATGTGTTATTGGTTCTGATGATCTGTAATTTCTAGACTTCACTTTGTAGAGAGTTCTCTGCCCAGAAACCTCGGGAA